TATCTTGCTCCAGTGATCATTTTTTTAAATAAATAAACACATTATAATAGCATCTGTTTGTCAGATCAGTAATCATGGCCTGTTTGGTTACATTTATCTTGTGATTTCACTGGAACGGAAAGCACTGTATTGAGATGGATGAGAAACGTTAAATTCTTTTAATAATGCAATAACCTCACATAGCTTACTGCAGCCGCTGTTTTCAGCAAACGTCAAGACAGATCAAAAAATCATTTTGCAGGGGGACTGGCAGCTGAAGTCCTAAATAGTGGCAAGCAATGTTTGTTACCACTTCTTTTTCCCGAAATGTGAGGAAATACACATCTCGTTTATGAGACTGAGATTAATGAATGTCCGATTAGCTCTTCAGCTCTTCACCGGTTCTGACAATAATTGAGCGCTGGCCAATTTCACGATAACAGTATTAAAGTGATGGAGCAGATATCCGACATCCCACATCTCTATCCCCAGGGCTTTTGTGGCCATTTTCTAATTTTCTCAAAGACTACAGGCTTTTGCCGAGAACGTCACGGAGCTTCACGTACTGTAATGACACTCAGAAATGACAGCAATGATCAATCATGCGTGACAATAATTGTGTGACTCGAGCTTTTTTTTCTTCTGAATATTTCATACTGATTGGAAATTAAATGAAATTAAATGAAAATAAAATACAAATAAAATGAGACAAGGTAAAATAAAAAATATTATATATATATATATATATATATATATTTATTGACATTACTGTCATTTTTGAGTGTTGAAATAGCTATAATTTCAATCATTTGTGACAATAACTGTGTGACTTGATGGTTTTCTTCAAAATATTTCACTCTGATTGAAAACTAGTAATAAATAAATAAAATTCAATATAAAATTAAAATCATATTACAAAATAAAAAAATAAAAGATAAAATAAGACAAAATAAAGATAGTCTTATAAAGATTTTTAAAATATATATATATATATTATTTATTTTATTAACATTACTGTTGTTTTTGAGTGCTATAACAGCAAAATAACAGCAATGATCAATCATGTGTGAAAATAACTGCGACTTGATTTTTTCTTCAAAATATTTCATACTGATTGAAAACTGGTTAAAAATAATCAAATAAAATAATCAAATCATAACATAAATAAAAAACAGATAAAATCATATAACATCAAATAAAACAAAATACAATATAATATATTAATATAATATAAGATCATGTAAAATATAAGGTAAATAAATTAAAATAATAAGAAGAAATATGATGATTCAATGATAAAATAAAAAAAATCATAAAATTTAAAAAATCATGTAACAAATATGAAAAAACAAGATAAAAAACTTTAATAAAATAAAAACAAAATTAATATTATTTATTTTATTTTCTTGACATTTCTGTGTGCTATAATAGCATTCAGGAATGGCAGCAATGGCCAGCTCACAACTAGCCAGGAACAGAAAATTGCACTGATAGAAAATTGATGCAAAGGTTACAAAAAAATAAACTCCATGCTTGCATTAAAGGTCCCATATTGTCAAAACTGAAATTTCCTGGCTTTTTTCACGATAACTGAAGTCTAGGGGCTATTTAACTACCATATAAGTTTCAAAACAGTCAGTCCACAGTAAAATGCACACAGCCTGGTTAAAGTAGCTGTGATTTTTCACGAACCGTTGTGACTTCCGTAAAAAGTTGACGTCAGAACTACACAGTCACCACCTTTAGTCACCACCCCGAGCACCACCCACCGTCCCACTCTCCTTTTGCCAAACCCCCAGACAACATCTCGTCCATGCCATTGCTGAGCAACGACAACACGGAAACATGTCGAAAAGGTTAACTTTAACCACGAAACCAGATCGGCCGACCTGTAACGTTACACTCTCACTCAAAGGATGGACAATCTGACAGAATTGTTACTATGAGGTGGATCACATCTAACGTGTATAGTAAAGACAAACTCACC